TTCGCACAACCTTAATATAATCTGTACCACAAGTGGTGTAGGGTATAAAAAATAAGCTATAAGACCTAATAGCTTCTCCCCGTCGCGTGTCCGACCCTGTTTGTTCTCTTATCTTTATGTTAACGGTATAAAAGATAAAGAAATTCCATAAAAATAACAACAAATATTGTTATGAATGCGTTATATGATTTTTTTTCTTTTTTACTGAAGAAGAGAAAATGACAAAAACTAGTGCATGCACAGTTTTAAACGAAGATTTTACTACGTTTCGTTGATAGCGCACAATGCATTTGAATTAAATAATCAAAGTGGATTAGTGGAAAATTGCTTTAGTGAAAAGAAAGAGCTAAATATTTTGGCAAAAAAGGTGAACGCACATATTGACAAAATGTGAATTGAAAATATAAAAATATTAAAAATTAATTTTATTAAACAGCTACGCGTGAAGTGTGTGATAAGGCTCATGAATTATTATTTGAAATACAACAATAAGACTTAGGGTGAATCTACTGTAACAGATGCTTTTGAACGTAATCTTCTAATGAAAACATAGAGACTTTCTTTCCTTATCTTACTTTACTGGGGGGTATGCACAGGAGCTTTAATCTACTATTCGTTCAATTTCCATTTATGAATGTTTTTTATTAGGGAATTTATTCTGCAAACTTTATGCACTGAGGGATGGTTTTGTTTCTAGTTACAGTAAGTATTTGTAAGGACAGACCACGCTTACGTTTTAAACAGTGTGTCGTGCTTTCCATAAATGGTAGAGTTTAGCTTTCGCTTCGCTTCGGGCTTGTACTTTAACTCATATGGACCACTTTGAATACCAACCTGGGTGCAAAAATTTCCAAGACTTCGCGCCCAGGAGAGTGGCGGCAGCCTACACTACATAGACACACAGACGGGCAGGCATGGTTTAATCAGTTCAAGAATATATACACTTTTACACTATACAGGGTCCCTGAAGCTTCCTTTTGAGTGTTGCAAACATTGTGATAAAATGAAAATGCCTCCCATCCTTCAGCGGTGGGTATAAAAAAAGAAAAAAAACTTAATTTTTTTTTTTTGTTTTACTTACTTCTATTGTAATTTAAGGCTGCTTGTGAAGTTTACTTTTTATTTTATTCAACACCTGTGGCGTTACTTGACGTCACATTCACTTGGAAATCAAATTTACGTTTAGCTTAAAATAATTATAAAACAAAACAACAAATTAGCCCGCCAGCTGTTTTTTTTTTTTTTTTATATATATATATATATATCAAATATGCAAAACGGCATACGAGTCTTATTGCGCTCGAAAAGGATAAAAGAACGAAAGAAGGTACAAAAAAAAAAAAACAAAAATATCATCATAAAATTTAGAAAAACGTAAAGTCTGCATATGTGTGTGTATTTAAATAAACTTCATCGATAGAGAAGACAAACAGACAACGACAACCAATAACCAATATGTTAAAGGGAATGAAACAACAATAATAACAACAAAAAAGGTGACAACATTGCTGTGTAAAAACTAATGCAAAAAACAACAAAGAAAAGACGTAACAAAGAAATGAAAAAAAAAAGAAAAAATGAAAAAAATTGTTGAAAAACAATGGAGTGCCGTGCACACAAGTTCAAAGAAAAATAAATAAAACAGTCGAAGGCACAAGAAAAAGCAACTATCTCAATACACTGTTTTCAATATTAATATCATTTCGAGCTGTGCCGGCGGTTCTATTAACTATTATTGCTACAGCAGCTAGAGCAGCAGTACCGGCAGCTAAAAACACTAGCGCACATTTACACGCATACATATTTGGAGACCTTCCGACAAGCGTATACATGTTTCAATAACATTTGAAAGGATATCAAGGCAAAAGCTCAACTTGTGAGCACCAACAATATCATCAGAGCATATTATCCTTTTCATCGTATTCAACGTCTATGCAGACGTTGCTTCTTACACTGAGACATCACTCAATACCTTAATATACGTTAGTGTACACATATAAATATATATGCTTATGTAATAGACATACATCTCTAGACGATACAATAACATCAACGTCAACATCAGCATCAGCGTCTCAGTATAAGCATCAGCATCAGCATCAGCATCAGCATCATTGGAAACATCTGTATAAGACGTTACAAAGCTTGTTTGGTAGTGTTACCGGAATCTATTAAAGTGCATTATAAAACATTGTAGTCGTGTTGCTATGTGCCTTGCTTTCTATTTTATATTGTATCTCTTATCGGTTCCTCTGTGTTATGTTGCGTTTACATAGAGAACAAAATAAAACTTGTGCATAAAAGTCCTGCAATAGTTGTACGCGCCACCTTATAACATCGACAATGTTCAACCGTTTATTCTTAGCACGGTCCGTAGTAGATGCTAACAAATTGTTCAGTACTCTGCTATATAGACGACATCAATAAATATTTAATAGTGTCAAGGTGTTGTTCACCATTATAAAAACAGTAAAAACGAAGAAATTTCTATATATATGTATAAAGCGTTTGTGTGTTTTGCTTACATACATAAACATTTAATATTATTTTTTGTTACTTCCCTCTGTTAAAATATAACATAAATAACGATTTTGTGTGAACGAAGTACTTTTTTTACCGTGTGTAATGTATTATTATAGAAAATATAAATATTTATGGAAAATTTTCTTAAATCAACTATGGCCGTGCAATTGAGAATAACGACAAAAAAACAGATGCATATCAAGGGTGTATGAGATATAGATCATGTACATAAGAATAATAAATATTAAGCTATTGCTAACACTTAACTCTTGTCTGAAGCGCAATAGGGTCTTATCTTAAAAGACTTTTTACCAATAGAACATAATTCATTTGTGCTGAGCAGGAATCCCAAGAATCGAGTTAAACAAAATGGATTTATGATGCTACTCATTATAAAAGCTAGCTACATTCGTTAATGTGGTTAGAGAATACGAACGACATTAAAGAGTGAAAATTTTTAAACTTTTCGCTACGGCCAACTTTAACTGATATTAACCCATATACCTTCAATAATGATTCCGACAAAAGTGGTTTACCGCTTTTGTGGTTTGACCAAACAAAGGAGAAAGAATTTAATTTATTTCTCAAAATCTATTCGGTTTATAACACCAACAGGAGCTGACGATAAAGGGATTAATGGGCCGAACTAGTTGTGCAGGGTTCAAAAAAATCTCCTGTTTCCCTTCGCCGACTTATCCCATTAAATTAGAATAAACTTTCGCATTAGTAGCTCCGTGTTCACGTTTACTCTGGTTCACACTTCACTTTACTTTACTTTCGTACTTATAGTGAGTGTTCAGCGATTAGAGACATCCCCTCCTCTTTCCTCCCTTCTCTCTGGCCCTTATCGTGCTGAATGTTTAGGCCGCATCCTCTGAACGATTGATCATATTAAAAAACACAAAGCCGAAGAAGGACAAATGTTCACGAAGATGAAAAGAGTAAACGTTATGGCATATGTGTTGTTAAAGCTTCTTGGAGGAAACGCAATCAGATATATAACGAAAAATATTGTTAATATAGGGATGTAAAGGGATCTAAAAAATAATTGAAGCAAATTATTAGCGTGACCGCTTTTAGAAAAGCGTCCAAAGAAATGCCTTGAGGAGTCTTAGGAGATTTAGATTTAATTATTATCCACTCATAACTATACACAACATGACTCTTACTTCTTCCTACTTGAAAAACGAACAGACAACTTTGACTTATTGAAGCGCAGTCAGGCCAAAGGGGCGAAGGTGGAGTAAATAAAAGATATATTAAAGAGTCGGTCAGTCTTTTTCGTAATAAAAACAACACATATTCTTATGTGATTTTTCAACGTCTCTTGCAAAAACTACAATTAAAAAAAAACAGGAAACAGTTGTTGAAGTCAAGGAAAAACTTTTTTCTTCCTCACTCGATCAAAGCTAATCTTTACTTGCGGCCATTTATTTATTTTTTCTCCTCGATTGCAAAGAGAAGAAGCTCCTTTGTACAAAATGATTGTTAATTCCACCATGAGCTGGAGTGTATCTCTAAGATTAACTCAGCTTAAGGATAAGAGAGTGTCGAATGAAAACTGCCGCTATATCAGTTCATTATCCCGTAGTTGTTGTTTAACAAATATTCCCAATTTACAGATCTTTTCTATGCAAACGTCTATTGAATTGGAATATTAATTAATTTAATTAATCAAAACATTATTGCGATAGCAACAGCGTAAACATGGGTATAATAAGTTCCGTGAATAAATAAAATGATATATTATATGAAGGCACTTTTTACAAACAAAATACATGAACGTGTGCTAAAACTTTCTCTTCGATAGTCTCCTCAGATATTGTAGTAAGGAACTCATGATGAATTAAGCAAACATTCTTACTTTCTCTCCTTTAATCTTACAAAGTGCACTATATCGGGTTAAGTGAAATTTTACTACCAGCGTTTTATTTCATTAATAATGCAACCCGGCGGTAATAAATTAGCATAATTATTGCAACATTTCTACCTTATAACACACACGTACACACATACACACACGCACAAACACACGGATACACATACTTGAAATCTATGTAACGTTAAAATATAGCTGAGCATAATGCTGCCTATCAAGGATAGGAGAAGTGACGATAGATGCTTATATAGATGTGCGAACATATTGACCGCATAAGCTTGAAATACTTACAACCACGATAATGTAGTGAACCGATAATTGAGTTGGTAAAGTCTATATGAATGCATGTGTATATGTAAATTTATATATAGCCGCCCAGGCTGACAGGTATCAATAAATGTAATTAACTCAAGTGCGACAACAAATAATTCGATTTCAATTAAACTAATTAATTGGTAGCACGGTATTCATATGCTTTAACTAGAGCTATTTACGTTTGGGGCGAAAATAATAAAAATTTAGTTATTATGATATTTTTCTTTTTTTTATATATAATACGAAAATTTTTATCTTTTATTTTCAGCTGAAATTATATAAAAGAGAAAAGAAAACAAATTGAAAAATCGGTACAAATTTAAAATAATAATAATAAAACTAATTCTAATAAACAAAAAACATGTTGCAATCCTTGAAAGTGTGTTCGGATAAATTAACAGAAACACCGAATAATATTAGCAGCGTTGTACAAGAGCATAACAAATCATCAGTTACCGCCACAGTTATAACCACTGGTGCAAGTTCGACATCATTGTCTACACCTGTTGCCAGCAGCTCTACTACTAATGGTAACTCCGCCATCAGTACCACAAATAATGACAGTACAAATGGTGTTTACAGTAACAACAATATCAAAAACAATAATAATCAGCAGCAACTTCATAATCTAGTGAATAAAACCCATTTGAATAGCGTACAACAACTGCAACAATATCATACTAAATACCTAGAAACGGCCAATGCAGCTGGTAACACCAACACAACGACTGTAAATACGGCAAAAAGTTTTCATCCTTACTTACGGCCACAAAATTCTAACTACAACTCATCACCATCAACATCATCATCATCATCATCCTCGCTGGCATTGGCGTCTGTTACGTCCAATACCTTAAAAACACTTGCATCGACTTCATCGGCAGCAGCGAGTACATTGTTTCAAACACTTTTACAAAACCAAATAAATTCCCCGGTTACAACTGCTACAGTAACAACATCGCCAGTGATAACAACAACAACAGCGTCAGCAGCTAAATCTGTTGCCACCGCAATAACATCAAGTGGATTATTAACTTTACCAACACCGACTTCATTAGTCGCCACCGCTAACAACAGCAACAGCTATCATGATATCATGGACAGCCAATCGTCACAAATTAATTCGTAAGTTTATTTTATATTTTTTACAATCTCTTTTTTATTTTTTGCAATTCTCCAAATAATGCATATATAAACTTTATTTAATTGTATACAATAACAATAGTTTCGTTCCCCCGTTTACGATAACGGGCAATGAACTTCAGACACCCTATAAATTACATAAATTAATATTCAACGTCCGATAATCTTCATAAGAGGAATATAACCTTGTTATGTGATGGTATGCCCACAAGTTGTGCTAAGAAATAGTTCGTGAGTAAATGTGCTAAAAACCCCCGACTCTCAAGTTCATAATTTTTTTTTTTTTTCTTTTTTTAATCCATAAAGTCTTTAATATTAAAAACACTCCGTACTCAAGTAGTCATACCGAGCCTACATTTTCAAAAAGATTCTAGAAAAGTTGCCTTAAATACTTTTAAGTAACTTTTACGCTCACCATTAAGAAGTGTGAAGCGGATAGATTCGTTATTCCAAGTATACATATCTATCAGCGACTATACTAACTAAACGTACGTGTGACCGTGACAAATAGTTCAATCGATTTAACTAACTCCCCCTCTTTGCTTTAACGACGTGTTTCGGACTGTTTTTGACATATCGCATAAGACCATACATTTTTTAAACTCAAAGTCTAAGAAAGGATCTATCTTAGCTTTGGTCTTTTGAGTCGTTCCAGCTTTTATATTGGTTTCTACGTTCATCTGTTTACAATTACTATGATTTCCGTTCCGTCAATTGATATGAAAGTTAAAGATTAGCAAATACATTTTTAAAAAACGGCCACGCCCACCGCAGGCAAATGGCTTTAATTTAATATTTATAGGAAATATTGGTCGGAAGCTATACAAAGTTCCAATCATCAGTAGGGGCAAAAGAAAATTAAGTGAAACAATTACCTTTTAAGGTAAGCGAAACTGGGAAAGAGGGAAAGAAAGTCTTCTACAGGGTATTTTAAACAAAAAATGGTCAACATATAAACATATAATTATAAAAATCCTCTGATTTAGTTAAAATACTATAGAATTTTTGTTTATTATTTCAAAATAGAAGCTATTAGAGAGGTTCATCCGTAGGTGTGCAATAAAGGTGATCAAATCTAAGACGGGTTTCATCAATAATCATTAAATATTTAAGGGTTAGGCCTGCAATTAGTTTATGTTAAGGTTATTATGATAACGATCAAAACAACTAAAAATGTTTAATAGGGCGATGATGAGCATATTCATAAAACCACTCTAGATACTCTGAATACGCAACTGAAAAACATCCATCATGACTGTTCTAGCGGTAGCTATGCAAACTTTCTGTGATCTACGACATGGGTCCTGCATTTTGTGTTTGTTGGCGAAAGAAAAACACTTAAGCAGCCAAAGCAAATGTCTTATAAGAGCGAGAAACAAATGCTGCAAACAAGCTTACATTACTTACCTACTGGTACGTTTTGTAATAATAAAATTATTTTTGTCCAAAGAAAGGGTTAAACGCTTATCAACCTTCACTGAAAATATTTCAATTCTTAGGAATAAGAGAATTTAATTAAGAATTTCTTTCATCATCCACAAGAGAGAAGAACATTTTTTTAGCGAAACTTTTCCTGGCGAATTGAATTTAAATTGAAATTAGAAAATTGACATATTGAAGGACGTAAAGTTACCCTGAGGTGTTCGTAGAATATTCCAGGAAAATGTTTGCAACACTGTTGAATAAATCTTAGTTAGAGATTTTTGACAACTTAAATTAATTTTTAACTTGGGCAAAATTTTTTTTTTATTCCTCCTCTTCTTAGAAATTGTAAAAGATGAACAAAAACACGGATGTAAATAAATAAATAAATAATGCTGTGGTATAATGCTGTGGTAAATTGTCAGAAATTATGTAAATAACCAAAACAATTGAAAGATAAAACTAGAGAAAAGTGAATTTTTATTCCCGGTAGCGTGAGGATTAGGAGCACTTGGCTCCATAATTAGGATTTGGTTTTTCAAACATTGAACAATGAGCTTCTTTTGGGCCTTAATTATTGCTGCTGTAGATGGGTGAGCCCATCTATATCATCTTTCAAATTTTAAATGAAAAATATTTGCGTTACCATTAAAACGTTCGTCGTTTGGTCAGAAGAATAGGACAATTTCCGATTTACTCAAAAATTATTTAATCTCTAATATTTACATTTGTTAGGTAACACAGTTTTGCTAACATATTATCCGGCCTGAGAAACATTCTTTTAAGTATGTTGTAGAGCTAACCCAATGATTTTTTCTTCGTCTTATTGTTATCTTATCCTTTGGATAGGGTTTTGAGTCTGGGAAGTGGCGAAAAACAATAGGCAACATTGGAGAATAGGGTCGGGGCGGCGGCAAAACTCCGCATTGTTTGTTCAACAAACTCACACATCGCACCATCATCGAAGGCTAAGGTGACATCATTGCGCCTTGACAAGTCTTGAAAAAATTCTCCAGTAAATTAGATTAAAACGCATCTTGCTACTTATCTACTTCGATCAGAATGTTCTGCAACTTGTGACATAAATTATTGAAAACCCCACAGCCAAATGCAAAAAAAAAAAAAAATTCTATGCGATTGAAGCCTTAAGCCTAAATCTAAAATAGTTAAAGGAAATGAACGCTCATAGGAACGAACTTCAGCCGAACCGAAAGGCTCTTAAATATTTTTGCTTACTCCGTAAACACTGAAACATTCTTCTATTAGGGGCTAAATGAATTGTAAACCTAAAATATACTAAACCTACTAAGGGCGGTAAAGGCAGCTAACTTTTCATGTCAATGGCGTAAGTGAATGTGGGCACAAATGAATAAATCGATGTAAGCATGTAGACAACTCGATACAGTTCAGACTAATAAGTGGTCAATATAAGTATTCAATTTCTTACTACTTTCAATTATGTGATTAAATGAGGCACGAAAGAGTCATTACGACATATGATAGACAATATCTTCTCAAGAAAACAACTGCATGAAAACCGATCACTGCCCAATACCTTAAAAAAAAAGAAAGGAAAACCGTTCCCGTTACTGCTACTTTTCGGTGATTTTTTGTTTTGGGATACCGCTCATTCACCGACACCAATGGTGTTATTTGAATTTCAATGGCACTGCACTCAGGCTTATAAACGGTTTCAGACAAAACTAGTCTCGCCTTCATCTCTGTCTCGCTGTCGCTTTGTTTGTGTGCGTTAATGTACTTTGACACTTTCGCAATCACAGCAAATCGGCTTTAATATACAAATCAACCACGGTCTCAAAACAGCCAACAGCCATTACAAAATCATACTACACTCACATGGCATGGAACTTTAAATTAGGACGACTTGAAAAGTGTTCAGAGAAGTTCGTTGAATATAGAATGATGTTTTCGGTTGCTCATGTTCAAATGTTTTTTCCCTCCTATTTTAAGCTATAATACACACGAGGCATTAATAATTTACATTATTTAAATGGTTTTACGCGCCTTATACTATCAGCATTATTACCACTACGCAGTCATTCCCATTGAAACCGTACACGCGTGTGTTTAAAATTGTTTGCATTTTCTCCGCTAACTACGTTTTGAAAACGGCAGAAGAAGAGATTTTCTTTCGTTAAATTTGCGTTTTTCATCTTTACGTTTTGAATTTGTTTGGCTATGTGCCGTCTAAAATGAAACGACTAAATCTCGTGCGGCTACATTGCGGGATTTTGGAATATTTTTTTTTTTTTTTTTTTTTTTTTTTTGTTTTTTTTTTTGCTGTTGTTGTTGTCGTTTTTGTTGTTGATAACGTTTCGCTCTTTAAATATTCGCATTTTACGCTTTTACATTCATTGAGAGTGAGTGCTTGTCGTCTTCTATTTATTCATTCCCTCCACTTTTATTGCTTAGGTTACTTGATTTTGTTGTACACGCGTTCCTTTGTATACAGATTTTCTACTTTATTATAATTTATTTAGAAAAGTAAATAGCTTTCTATTCATTTCATGTGCCATCGCTAAATGTTTTATTTTCTTGCGTTGCTTGCTGTAATAGATCATAATACGCTCATAAAATATTACAAGTTAATTGCAAGCATTTCGTTTTACTTCCACTGTCAGAAAATAAAAATGTGTGCAAAAATTCTAAAAAGATTTGTAAGGAGATTTTCTGTACGGGTTATCGAAAGAGATTTCTTTAAAAATTTGTTCAGTAAAATTTTTAAACATTTTCTAAAACCACAAAGGAAACATGGATTTTGTCAGTTATTTTTTGCGAAATATCTTAGATGCAGGGACCAGAGAATCAATTGTTTTGAAGAGCTTAGCACAGGTGTGTGCGTCAATCCTAGCATACGCTTTTATTTATTTCAAAATTTTAGATGTCGAATCGAGTTCGATATGTCGTATACATTTTTAAAAGACCGCTTCTCATCTGGTATTTTAATAAAGTCGATTCCAAGCGAAAATGGTTATATTCATAATCTAATCGCCTGTTACGTGTTGTTTAAATATTTAGCGGAAACTTCAAAATAAATTTAGTGACAAATGTATCACCTTTGTTGTTGAATATGAAATTAAAATTTCACATCTGCGGTCGGCTTAGTACGACACAAAAAGTATTTTTCCGATTTTATAATTTGTTTGAAGACTTGATTTCCGACAATCAAACAGCCATGAAACGCATTATTACGAGAGATGAGACTTGAATCTATGCATACTGCACGTAAATAGCAACCAATCAAGCGAATATCGTGCAAAAGGTGAGCCAAGATCGAAAAAACCGTTATATAGTTTTCTTCGTTTATCGTAGTGTTGTGCCCTATGAATTCTTCCCGCCGGGGCAAACTATTAGCAAGGAACGTGATTTAAGTTCGAAGATTACTTCGGAGGCGGCGAAATAGATTTGTCATAATAAATAGGTGTAAAAAGGAAACAATCAAACTAATTTTACCTTTTAGACCCACTAATGGGTAATTTTTCGCGAATAAAAGAGATCTTAAAAGATGTACTTGACCCGAAATTTATGCCGAAACTTTT